TATTTATTTATTTAATTTTGAATGAAATAACTGTCCATATGTGTTAACAGATGGAAACATTTTCACTTTGGACTTAGAAAAGAAACTTAGAAAAGATTAATCAGGATTCCATCGTTCAACAGAAAGACTCTTCACAAGTGACAGTAGATGTCCCAGCAAATTCACCCAAAGGTCAGACCATGCAGTGCTCAGAGAAACAAGCTCCATCTCAGACTCCACCTAGTAGGGGTCTCTGCAGTACAGGTTGTCCTGTGGGCAGAGATGGTCCTACCTGTGACTGATGGAGGTCATGGTGTGGGCAAAGTWGACCCTAAKCGTGATTGGCAGAGTTGGTGTGTRGGYGRCGTTTGCCCAAACCATGATYGGTTGGATTGACATGTCTTCTGGGGCAACTTAAAAGAAGAAGTAATGATAGTAAAAAGATATTATTTATTGACTGTCTATGTTCAGTTTAAAACAGAACAATGACTCAAGTAAAAATTATTGTGAACACATAAACATATTCAGACTTTAAATTTCATGTGACAAGCACCTTCCTGTCTCCAGTTATGACTAATATTTATATTCTTATTGAGTTTCAGCTATTTTATTACAGGCTGATTAGGGATGTTTTGATCGAGCCAAATTGTTACTTGTCCCTCCACATGTACGGCATTCATATTTTGTGCAGCTAGCACCTTCCTGTCTCCAGTTATGACTAAAATGAATCTTTAAATAAAATTTAAAAAAACATAGGTGCTTTCTGTCCGACTCGACCAAGCTACTCCCCGCTGCCCCCCAGCTTCTTCAAACCCCACCRTCAATCTGACCAGTCAAGTCTTGGGCCAATACGCCCACAAAATAAGAAACTCCTACTTTGTGACTGCAGAGACCCCCTTCTCGACTCCAAAGGTCAAAGGTCATGTCAGAAGAAAAAGACTGCAGGGAAAAGTATCTTCCATCTAAAAGTAAGAAAGCAACAAAACTTCAGTTYGTAAAGTTTTATATAAATGAGCCAAAAAACGTCAAGAGCAAAAAAATAAGRCRTTTACCCATAATGCACAGCAACATGTTTATATCATCTCATCACAAACWCCTGACACCAGCTCTGAAGCATGGTGGTGGGAGGCTGATGATTTGGGCCACAGGACCCTGCAGTCATTCAGCCCACCACAGAGCACAACATGATAGATGGTTTTTAACAATTTGTTTATGTTTTAACCAAGTGACTCTTTATTTCCACCATTTAATTGATGTTCAGAGTTCTGTACTGCCCTCATCTACCAACTACAACCAGTGATTACAGCATGTATAAACGTGAGCAGCAGATACACGAGGAGAAAACGTCTGCTTTAATTACAGCGTAGACTGGAAAATATCCCATAATAATAGGTCAGAATGACAGATTTTACTGCAGGAACAACTGTCTGTATACACTTTTCTACATGCTAAGAGCTAACTGCAGAGTACAACCCCATTTTAAATGATTACATTTAGAAAGTGATTGCTGTCTTTACCTTTTGCTTTTTATATCCTTCCGCGTGAAAACCTCTTCAGGTTCTTCTGTATCTGCGTGCTGTTGTTGGACCAGTGATTATAGGAGGAACAGTAACACATGTCGTTATATTGTCTCTCATCAGGATCGGCTACAAACACTTTCAGGTTTTACAGATTCTAAATYGCCACCTTAAAGAGTCCACATCAGGAAAAATCACTTTTTARCTRTTAAATACATTTTGTTGTGGACTTGGAGTCTCTAGGAGGCAGAAAAGTTGWATTTATTCTCTCCTGGTGAAACAAAGATATCTTTAGATTCTGTTTGGGTCAGATTTTTCAACACCTTTAGTTTTTGTTATATTCTGTGATGTTTACTGAACTATTACGTTAAATTATTTGAAACAGAACTTCTAAATAAGGTCTGGACTTACCAAACTTCTGCAGCTTATTTTGTTAAAAAGTTTTGTTTTTTTTATCTGAAGCCAGTTGTTAAAAGAGTTAGAAAAGCAGCTGATTTGATCCTGTTGAATGTGAGCATGCAGCTGATTTTCAGATTTTCACGGCTTATTTTCCATCCCTGCCGTTAAAAAGAAAATAA